TCCCTTGAGTTTCTTATTCTAAGCACACACTGTAGGCCTCAAATAGTCCAAATTTCCAACTGTCAACAGATATAACAATTCCAAAGGTTACTTTTCATTAGAAAGGATGTCTCTGATAATGATTAGCCGAGTCCAGACATGAATTTTCAATCACAATGAATCATAAGTGTATTAGCTATTACTAATTGTGTGCATGAACAGATTTGACTGAACCATGACAGAGGAAAGAGAACCATTAATTTCGATAAAAAGTCGAAAAACTTCTTGTATATCAGAAAAAAAAGCTCTCGAGGATTTGATTGGGATATTCAAAATAATGACCTCGATATTTCATAGTTCGCGGTGCAGTTTGTCCGTTTCACAGCTCAACACCCTGTATATTGTAACAGTCCGACAGATACTCATGGTTAGAAGCGATTACTCCGAAAACTTTCGAGAAAGCGTCATCTTCCTGCAAATTGTGGTAAAATAAATTAGAAATTTACCACCACGCTGCATTATTTCACTTAGACAGATAATTGGCATTGTCTAGCCACAGTTTACTATGAGTGAGAGTATTTTGATGTGTCCATAGGTAGCCACCAAACGTACGAAATGGCTAGAGAGAGGTGAAGTGTCGACAAGAACTAACGGTTAATGTTTTTCAGAGAGTGTGAACTCACTGGTCAAGACTTGAAACGACTGAAAAAAAAAAGAGATATAAATGCTCTCTATGACAGTTGCGATGGGAACTCTCTCTCTCTCTCTTCACCTTTCCATTGAACGAGTATATAGATATATTTTTCATAAAGAAACGAAATCCAAAATGATGGTAGCAAAGGCATATTTTGTCATCTGATGTGAAAATATACTTTCTTTCACGACCCTGCATGAAGTTACTTCTTTTGCACTCATTGAAGTGAAAAATGTTCAAATTCTTTGAATTAGTCAGCAAAATATCAAAAAACGGTAGGGAGGTGCTGAATAACCCTATCAAGTAGATTATTCAAGTTATATTTTCGTGACAGGTTGAAAGTTGTATAAACGCATAATTCCAACTCACTGATAGTGATTCAGCTGGAAAATCATAAAAAAATTTTGCTGTTTCACAGTGGCTGCCTGATAGCGACAGCATCTAGTATACCTTCCTGTGGCATAAAATTCACTTTCAGTAAAATCGTTATTCCTATCCTAGAAATCCCAATGTGTTGCTTCTTTTCGAAAATTAGTAACGGAAATAGAATTTCTTATAGATGGTAGCGAGATATAATCGTTTTTTCAAAGAGAAACCGAAAAATAGGACACATGTTTACATGATCTCCATTTCCTGAATTATCACAAGGAATCATGCCTTGAATTGTTTGGTGGTATTTGGATACAATTTGTATATATCTACTTGTTTTGTCGTACTTCCTGTTTGGCTACCCAGCAAACATTTTGATGAGGGGCATTGATGGCCTAATATATTTTCCCCCATGCCTGACATCAGCGACTCAGTAAATGGTCTCATATGCGGGACTCTGTATATCAGTACATTGCGGCCAGCAGCTGGTCCCAGTGCTGGGTACCCAGCAATCATATTCAGTTCACTGGCGAAAGGCCAGTACAACATAATCGACACATTGAGTTTTCCATAGCAAGCCCAGTACATACATAAATGAGGAGACTGTAATAGCCATCTATCGACATTGGTTACATACTATCGAGGTAGGGGTAGGGTTTTTAGGGGTTCAATGGATCTGAAAGTTTGAATAACTCTATTTTTCATAATGAAACCTTCTCATATCATACCAAACAGACACATACCAGATTCCTAGGAAACATTAATGAATGACACAATATCTTCTTAACCTCTCTGTTCTTCCATGATGAAACCTCTCAGAGTGATTGCTTACCAGGTAGTATTCACATCTACATCTTATTTTGATATCATTATTCCTTTGAAATGTATCCTTCGTTGCGAGGTAGGTATCCTGAAATATAAAATTCTCCATTAGTTATTAGTGGCCTTTGTTGATACCAGAATTATCCCTCCATAGGAATATGATCGAGAAACGAATTACTGTTGCATGAGTATACAACTTGATCAATATAGTCTGATAACGTGATAACAAATGGAGCTGTGCATTTCCCATTTCTGTAGTTGAAACCTTATTGTTATTTACTTCTATAATAAACAGGTTTACATAACCTTAGATTACTTCTGATAGCAACGGATGAATTAAACATGATAGTTATGCTTCTGAAGAGAGAGAGAGCCACTCCAATCATTGTTATTACTAGGTATATGAGGTTATGAGATACCAAACACATACATTTCATGAAAAAATTCAGAACACTAGATTGGTTGATTGATACTTACTCAATATTATCATAATTGAAGAATCCATCTTCTATATCATCAATTGAGAATACTTCTGCCCTGCCATTATGAATAGAGACCAGGGAAAGTGAGGAACACATTTATCCGATAACAAACCAGAGAAAAACTAAACAAACGCTATCAATAGAGTCACATATGATGCATGATGATCCAAATGATCAGCTGATTGTTGATGTAGACGTTCCTAGAACATCCACCAGGGGGACAAGTAGTGAACAGGATATGGGCCAGCAAAAGGCCACAACTCGTTAGTGTTCAACTGGTTCCAGACATCTCACCATCACAAGGCCTTCATCGTATTTTTACCTGATGGTTACTTAGCATAGAAAAATCATCGGCCCATTACCAATACCCCGGCATCGTCACTTTCCCAGACTTGCCTGCACTAGGCCGAACTTCTCCCGGTAGTTCAATGTTTGCTGGGAAATTATTGAATGCGACACCCTGTATTGTATTCCGTCATCGGTTGAAAATTATTAGAACGAATTGAACGATACCAAGTTTGATAGGGTTATTTCGAACATTCGAACGATTCATCATTCCAGATTTTCTGGAATTTTCTCTCCTCGTTTATATAAAATAAAAATATGAATATTATTTCAATAGTGGGGACAAATGAGATGATTTGCCCCAAATTTTCACTGCGTTTAAAGAATCTTCCTATCAGAGAACCTAAAAGAAAAATTCAGTAGCTTGTCAGTGACAATTTGTATTGAAAATGGATTGGAGAAAGGAAATAAAGGTATACAGAAACAATATCAAATTTTCACTTAGCTTTGGACGTTTCGGGACCGAATCTTGCACCCGTTTTCAACATAAAAATTGTTCTTTCTAATAGCAAATTCGTATCTGTCTTGAAATTTTTCTGTTCTCACTGAGGAAAATTCTTTAAACGCAGTGACATTTTGGGACAAATCAACTGATTTGTCCTTACTACACGTATATTGAAATAATATTCATAAGTTCATTTTATAGAAACGAAGAGAGAAAATACCAAAAAATCTGTAATAATGAATGTACGACCTCCTCGATTAACCTACGAACAGTATTGAAACGATTGTTCTAAAATTGTTTTGAAAGTGTTTGATTACGAAGATATTTGCAATCGAAGTTTCCATATGCAATGGATGTGACGACGCAATATCGAAACTTCTTTCTGCGTCATACTGGGTACCCCAACTTGCCTGGTGCCCTCTCTGGTATCATCTTCGGTTTGAATATCAAGTATTATGCCTGCAAGTCATGATGGATAATCTGATACAGCAGATTCTCTTTTTCAGACGCTCTATATCACACATATGAGGTCCGGAAGTTCTCTGAACTTCAGAGGAAAATCTGTAATATGTATTTCAGCAGGAAAACGTAGACGAGCCTTGCGAAGAGAAAGTTCCGGAAATTATATGAGAAAGATTTTCTACAACTCGTGCATCGAATCAGATACAGACGGACTATTTCAGGATTTTTCTGTAATGGTTGGAAATTATTTTCCGATCATGAAGGTTATAAAAAAAGTTATAGATCGAACAGTTTCAAAGTTTCATCCATGTTCTGTTCAAAAATCATTGAAAAACAATGAACTTAATTATATATAGGTGATTAGATTCGACTAATTTCATATCGATTACAAAATCTATAAGGTTTGTCTGTTCATAATTGAAGTGGTGGAAGTTTACGAAGAGAAGAAATGTTTGAATCATCTCCATTCATATTATACCGGTGTACAAGTTTTGACAGTATTTGATCTGATAAAATACAATAATTGGTCAATTGACCAATTAGGACAAATTAATAGAGAAATGAAACAGATAAACACTCGATATATCGGCCATATTCTGATTCACCCTAGATATTGAAATGAAGGTCACATATTATATGTTCTATATGTCGTACCCCTATTGAAATCTCGAGAACGGCAAATGCAGAAAATGTTGATTGAATTGGACGAAAGTTGCTCATTTTATAGTGGACAATGAAACGATCTAGTTATCATTTATTTGCGCTGGCATCTTCATTTTTGGAAACGAAGAAATGAGTTGACAAACATTTTTTTCCTTGTTTCGAATCAGCTTCGATGTGCTGTGCTTTGACTATCAATGTAGGTAACTCCATTCAATCTACGGAAATGCCAATAGTGATGGAACGATATACAGGACGATTCATTGAATAGAAAATCTCTGAACTACAGATAGTAAACACAAAAATAATGAGATTTAGCCCAATATGCCTCATGAGAATGTTGCTGGTTCAGGAGATACAGGGTGTTCAAGGAGGAGATTTTATTTCAAAATTTCACGATATATTACTCTGTTAGTTCCAACAGCATGAACATTTAATCTTGAATTTCTAAGTTTTCTGACATGAATTTTTGTGTTCACTATCTATAGTTCAGAGATTACCCATTCTCAATGCATCACCCTGTATAATAGCGACAAAAGACCTGTATATTCTCATGATGTTATCAGCGATTACTCACACTGAATCCTCACATCCCTCTCGGAACAAATCCTTGTGTCGATAATATGGTTCTGTCACATCACCAAAGCGTATCTCGATTTTCTCCCCGATGCGATGCTGCGGGATCCCATCAGTTCCATCGAATCACCTAAGTTGAGCTAATAAATCGTTTCATCGTTTTCAGAGTCTGGATGTTTGTACGACCTGCAAAGTTTGCGGAGGATACCGGCTTCTGCCCTGCCAAATTTGCAAGGGGAGCAAGAAATCCGTCCACAGGAACCATTTCACGGCGGAGTTTGTTGCCCTCAAGTGCATGAACTGCGACGAAGTGGGATTGGTTAGATGCAGTCACTGTTCATAGGATCAGAAATGTTTTGATTCCAGGAGCTCAATTTCTCGTCATGAATTCATTTTGTAATTATGTTTGTAAAATAATAAAGATCAATACTATTAAAAGGAGTGAATTGTTTTTAATTTCTAAAGACCATATAAGAGATCTTCGTTTGAAACAAAGAACATTGAATGAGAGATATTCTTGAAAATACCGATTTCAAAAATTCATAAATTCCGTTTGGTATATACAGGGTGAGTCAGAATGAGAAGACAAACTTTGTACACGGATTCCCCACCTCATTTCGAGGTGAAGGGTCCCTATCCTAAAATGCATTCTCACTGAGATACAGGGTGTCAAAAGAACGCAAAAAGTTAAGATTCATCTAAATTCATCCAGAAGCCTGTAGCAAACAAATTGAAACTTGGTATACCAATCCAGATTAATCATCAGAGTAATCACAGGGAGTTTTCAGGCATAATTTGCTGCGTACCATAATCGCATATAATGCTGATATTTATTTATTTATTTATTCATACTGATTACAAACAGACTGTGTCTAATAAAATGTATCAGTTAGGGAGGTAGAGAGAATGGAATCAACTAAAGCTAAAACTAAAACTATATACATTATACATTTGAGAGACTCAAGTCACATCACAATTAGTTTCACCTAGTTTAACATTACATATTAAAATAACAAAAACAATGAAAAATATTAAAATGGTTAGTTTGAATATATCACATCAGGTGAGAGAGAAGTAAAGTTTTGGAGATATTCCAGATATCAATTTCACATTTTTTTAAAAGTTCTTGAAGGTTGTTGACCAGCTGTTGATAGGAGAACTCACAGTACATATTCCGAAAACAGTATTTTTGGATCTCAGCCTTATATCAGGTACATTTATGTGAATATTCATCAATAAGTCAGGTACATTAATCAAATTATGTAAGATATCAAAAATAAACAAGATCTGAATTTTCTCACGCCGTTTGCTCAAAGTCTCTTACACGAGATATTGATATTACTTTTCAACCTCGGAAATATATCTGAACTTGAAATTAAAAACATACCCGTATAATTCTTTCAATCTTTTCATCATTCAAAAATGTTCAGGAGGTTGAAAAATGTTGTGATTTCTCGTAAAAGTTCAGTATTATGCAATCATGGCACGCATATCTTAAGTTTTTTGCAAAAATCTTGGGAACCTCTACACTTTGGCATACAAAATTTCATAGCTTTTATTCGATCTAAGGAAGAATATAAAGGGAAATGTGGCGATATATGAACCTAACTATGCCACTGGTTGGCAAAATTAGCAAATGAAAACTTTATGTGATCACCCTGATTGATCGGGATCGGAATACCAAGTTTCATATTTTTTGCTATACAGGGGTACTGGAGAAATTTAGTGAAATCTCAACTTTTTTCGTAGTTTCGATCGCATCTTATTGAGGATGCATTTTAGGGCATACCTTGATGAAAACCTCTCACCTCAGAATGAGTCCTAAGACCGCCGACTCAGCGAAGCCTAGCCAAACAAAAATCAGGTCGACATTTTATTCACCCCGAGGCGTCTTTCATCGACAAAATGAAAGTAACGCCATCTGAGTAGAACAGAGGAAAGAATCACTCCAAAACTAGTTTTCGGTCGGTCTTAGGACTGCTGGCTGGAGACTACACTGCACTGATGAGAGTCAAAGAGCTCGAAACCGGTCTGTGGTTGTCTAGCAGACTCGCTAAATCGAAATCAATAGGCACTCAGGAAAGAATCACTTGTATCATTATTCGTTTATACGAGTCGATGCATAGATTTCGGGAGGATGTAATTCAATGTCCTGCGTGGCATCAGCCAGGGAAGTAGTTGTTTTTCTCCCGAAATCTACCATTGTTGTTCATTTTATGAACATTGTGTGGAAATGACTTTGAGCTTTTTGTATTTATTTATTATGGTAATGACTTTGAATTTCTATTCTATGTGACCATTGCATTCCACTTTGAGCATTTGGCTTCTTTCCTAGTTGGAAATAACTATTATTCGACCAAAAATCTCTTCAATTCCATCATATAATTTCGTCCCCTATATTATTCCTTTTGAAAATATCCTGTATATCATCTTCGCAGTGTTAGACCCCCATTAATCGTGCCATTATTTCTTTTTCATTAATCCGTGGTTTGTTCAAATACAAACATTGGCAGCGGTTTTATCCTCAAGGAATAAAATAATTGGATATACGTTTCTTTCAGCCTTGCTCAGATTCATATTTACTCATGCAGACTCCACCAGGGAATACCTCTGAGGAATGTGATCGACTCAGTTTGCGCCATATAGATAAATAATGCATAAAACCATTACCACCTGCGGAAAATACATCAACTTTCGAAGAGATTTTCAGTGGAAATGTTCGAAATACATGAAAATATGCGTTTCGCTCAGCTCCCAGGATAGCTCCTCACTGTGTCTAGATCTAGTGAATCAATACAATATATTATTATGATGTCTACTCAAGACATGACATCGAGGCATAGGTAATCTGTGCTTCTTGATGGGTTGGAATACACGGAAAATTGTGGAAATTTCAGATTATTTCACTAATCTTGAAACTTTCTTATAACGTGACAAACCACAAACTGAAGACATGTATCATTACTTGGGTCCAAAACTCTTCAGCTGTCTACATGAAATACTAAAATGCGAGCCAAACCCTATGAAGTTTGAAAATAAACCCGAAATGATTGTATGTTCTACATACTTCCCGTGCAGAAATACACGAGATGATCGAAAACTAAATTTAAAAAATTTTCATATATTATACGCTTTCGAGAATATTTTTATTCTTGAGTTTTATCAGTCAGTTGTAATTTTTTTTTATATCTACAGGGTTTTGCATATTTGTGGAAACACCTTGATATCTCGAAAACGACAAATGCGATCCCAATTAAACTCGGTTTAAGCCTAGGGGCTGTTTGACCTGAGGAAATCAAAAATCGTATTGGCAATGTTGCCAGATTCCTGTATTCTGCTATGCGTGACACAACTTTGTTTATTCAAATATGCAACACCCAGTTCAATATTACTGCATTCGATTGCTGATGCATCATTTGATAAAACCCCGGATTGACAAATTTCAAATCTTGATATTTTCTGAGATTTGGCAAACCAGCAATTTTGGAAAAAAAGGATAAAACCTGCTGAACATCCCCGGAAGGATAGATGTGATATCGAAGAATTTCAGTACCTGGGGGCTGTTCACCCTAGGAAGTGAAAAATCGTATCGGCGATGTTGCCAGATCTCTTCATTTCGCTGTGTGTGGCACAAATTTGTTCTTTTCCAAATGTAACACACAGTAATAATAAGTTACTGCACTAAATTTTTTTAGGTTAAAACCGTGCATCAGATCTAAATAATTGTGATGATCAAATTTGCTTTAAAATGATTGGGAATTTCAAGAATGATTTCAATTTCGAGATTGATCAGTGGCGTACCATCAATGTCTGCCAAAATAGGTATGTGAAATTCTATTCGAACGCCACTGGTGGCAACCAAAAAACATGTGATGCAATAGCTGATCCCTCTTGATACATAGTACATGTATGCCAAATGTCATTAGAATATCTGGAGTGGTATTACAGATTTTGATAAAAAACTATCAATTTTTGAGAACTTTACCACCCTGTATCTCAAAAGTTAGGACATTTAGGTCGTATGTTCATATGCAACTTTCTTTTTAGAATGGGCCCAAAAATTGCCTCCCTGAATATTGACATTCAATTATGAAACACCTTGTATATTGATATTATATCGACGGATAATGATGAAGGTCATAATGACGTCCACACAAATTTTTGATTTTTCATTGAAAAGTCTTTAACATGAAATATTCTGTTTCTAATTCACTTATCAAAAAATTCAAGATATCCCTCAAGTTACTGATTCGCGAAAAGTGATCGCACCGAGTGTCCAAAAACCACTTGAAGGAGTGTATCGAGTAGCAATTAATTAATGTTGTATCATTTTGAAAAAATATTTTGAGTCACTATTGGTGACTGTAATGTGAACTACAAATGTGGTCATGTGGTTTGAAGCAGGAGATGTGGCAACAGCGCATCGTTCGTGTGCGATCGAGTAGTGTGGGTCCTACGAAAATTGGGCTCCTACGAGAAGTGGCTTGAGCGTAATGTAGCTTGAACCAGAATGAGGCTGCCACGAGATGCTCCCGAATCATCGACCAAATTGCATATACCAGGAATCTCTTTTTTAACAACGTTCTTCGGAGTTCATTTGCCATATACGTCGAAATGAGGTTCTACGGATGACATAATTTGGCTGTGACAATTTTCCGACCCTTTCCAGACGGGTCGCTGTCAGTTGATGGAGAGTCTATTCGTCGAAAGTAAATTGGCCGGAAACGCCAATTGGCCAGTTGAACTAAATTGCTTCAATTCGTCGAATTTCATGTGTTATAAGATAATTCGAATGTCTCTCTGAAGTTTCACTTCCAGAAGCCTTCTCAGTTTCAGACTACTTCGAGGAAAAAATCAACTGTGGGTAGAGCTCATCGAGGTGGTTCTGGGTATACCATATTTGTATGGTCTGAAAGTTTTATATCGGAGATATAGGGTGTTTTATCGATTTTGCTCGATTATTTGCGAAAACCAGAGATTCTCCGAAAATATCGACCTGAGCCGGTACTGCTATGAGGCAGCAAACTTCAGATTCGCTTTCTGGTCCATAAAAACATATGTTAGAGAGGTTGTAATCCTTAGAGTTCCTAAATGTACTTGACACTGCTGCTTTTGACGTTTTTCGTATATCAGAGTACGGACACTATGACAAGCACTGACAATCAGACATAACCACAAATAAATTGATGGAAAAAGCGGGAACTGACAGTACACGGACGTACATGACCTAAACTTCAGAGAATTGACAAATTGAGAGAATAAGGAGAAAGATGCAAGTTTGTGCAGTTTCCAACTGTGAGAACACGGGAAATCAATTCACTCTATTCGAATTTCCATCGGATAACGTAATTCTACAGAAATGGAAACAGAAAATGATGCAGCCGGCATGGAATATATAGGGTCAGGCCACAAAATTTGCAAAGTATTTAAATTT